CTTTTATTATTTCTTTCTCTCTCTCCCTCTCCCTCCTTCCCTCACTCCTTTCCCCCTCCTCTCTCTCTCTTTTCTTTCTTTCTTTCTCTTTATTTTCCTTTCTTCCTTCTTCCTTTTTTTTTTTGTGTGTGCCAGTACTGGGATTTGAACACAGGGCCTGGGCATTGTCCTTGAGTTTTTTCACTCAAGGCTAGCTGTGGCTCCACGCTTCCTGCTTCTTGCTTAATTGGGAATAAGAGCCTCATGAATTTTCCTTCCCCAGCCGGCTTTGAACTGCAATCCTCAAGATCTCAGCCTCCTGATTAGTTAGGATTACAGGTATGAGCCCTAATTCTTTTTCTCCTCAGCAATCCAGTTTCTTGCTTCTCATTAGAGAAGTGATTGCTTTGGTTTATAGACCTTCATCATGGGACACAGCCTTGGGGATTAGGGGAGGAGGTGACAGTAAAAGAGCAGCTGGAGGCCAGGGAGGCACCGGATGAAGGAACCAGTAGAGTTGCACCTGTCTGAACACTCAAGCTTTTATTTAGATGTTTTTCGGGGGAGGGGAAGACTAGTTCTGGGGTTTGAACTCGGGACCTGAACTTGTTGGACAAGCGCTCTGCCACTTCATCCAGTATTGTTTATGCCAGTTCAATTGGAAGGGAGATATACTCATCTGTCAGTGGCTTGGAGAAAGGCCTTTGGGGGACACTTGTCCCAGAGCCTGGGAACAGAAAGACTCCACATCAGAAGAAAACATTTCCTAGTATTAGACATTGATATTCCAGGCTTAAGTGTCAACTAAAGTTGGATAAAATAAAAATCATTCTCTCATATTTTCCAGTTTGAAAGCTAGCTTATTGGACAGCAGTGGGATTAGTGTGCTCTGACTACTGTGCCAAATCACTCTGAATTTGGTGGCTTAGCTGCCAGACTACCACAAACTTGGTGGCTCAACAGGGCGCTAGTGGCTCTTGCCTATAATCCTGGCTACTCAGGAGGCTGAGATCTGAGGACTGTGGTTCAAACCCAGCCAAGGTAGGAAAGCCCTTGAGACTCCTATCTCCAACGAGCCACCAAAAGGCCAGAAGAAGAGGTTTGGCTCAAGTGGTAGAGTGCTAGCTTTGAACCAAAAAAGGCTAAGGGACAGTGTCTAGACCCTGAGTTGAAGTCCGTGGATCATCAGCTCAACAAAATAAAACTGAATGGCTCACAACATATATTATTGTTCCAGAGGCGTGAAGTCCAAAGTCACCTTTGTTGGCTAAAATGAAGGCACTCGTAGGCCTGCCTCCTTCTGTAGCTCCAGGAAGGATTCGTTTCTGGAGCCCGCAGCTTTGGCAGCTACTAGCCTTCCTTCTACCCCCCACTCTCCCCAATCTCTGCCTCCCTGGTCCAGTCTCTCTTCCTCTTCCTTTGTTAGATCTCTGCTTCCTCTCGGGACACTGGCAGTTTAGATGAACCATTAGTTCAATCCCATCTGCCAAGTGTATCTTGGCATATGAGGTAACAACCATCAGTGAAGTCGGGGACTTGGAGGTGGGTGGAGTGGCAGATGGGCTGTATTTGGTCTACCACAATGACCCCTTCCCCTTCCTCCTGCCTCCTCAGTCCCTCTGAGTCCCCAGTTGAGGTGGGGCCCGGTGGCCAGGTCCCTGGGGAGCAGAGCTTGCAAGGCCTTCTTGAGCTTGTGTCTGCTGAGCACCTCTGCCCTCTTCTGTTTTTCCTCTGGTGTAGGAATAGCCACCCTCCGGCTTCTCACGTGCCTTAGATTCAGTACTGGATGGTGAAAGGCATGCACAGGTGGGCTTGTAAAAACAAAGGCCCATAGTGCTACAGGGTTAAAGTGAAAAAGTCTTTCCTGTCATCTCTGGTCTAGCCCTGGAAGCGAAGGCGCCCATGGGAAGATTGCACAGATTGCACCTGGCACTGGCTCAGGGCCTTGGAATTCCACTCACTTGCCCCGAATACAGCTATGTGGCCTGCTGCACCGGAGGGTGGCTGTGGGGGATGGCCGAGGGCTGGCTCCCCGTGCCCCTCGGCACTGAGGGGGTTAAGCAGTCACTAAGCTTGAGTGTCCTTGTGAGGGCTTCTGATCTACGCCCTGTTCAGCTATGTGGAAGAACCTGATTTATGTAATTCACAGTTTGCTTTTCTCTCCTTTCCCCTTGTCTCCCCCTCCCCATTCTCTCTTGTCCCCATATCTCTGGCTCCTTGGGAGAATGTATCTGAGAAGTTGAGTTAATTTGCATACTGGAGGCCATGCCCACTTTATCTGGATGGCTATGGCCAATCAGAGACCTGCTCCCCCTTTTGTTGATTTTTCTGAGATCCAGGGGAGGGAGCTGAGTGGCCCCCTACTCTCTTGTCCACATGTCCCAACAAGTAGAAACCTCCACCCCGCCACATCCTTCCATGAACACTGGAAAGGTAACAGTGCCCAAAACCAGGCTGGCAAGGAGCCATTTCCCAACCCTTGTCTGAGTGATTGAGTTCCTGCTGGTTGTCAGGATTCAAGGGCAGATCACTCACCTGCAGAGACCCATGTAATGCAGTCTGTACATTTGGAAAGGTGGCTGGGGTTGGTGTCTCAGGCCTGGCTGTAGCTGCAGGAGGTGTTGTGTTGTCTGTAGAGCCTGATTTACCACCTGGAATCAGAGGGCCATCATCAGGGGATGGCCTGTAAACTAGCGCAAAGAACCTGTGCAAGTGGATCACAGACTCCGCAGGGCAATGCCAGTCACACGCCTGCACCCAGTGAGGCCTCTGCCGGCCGCCATGAGTGCCCCAGTGAGAAGCCCGCACCGCAGTGACTCGTCTCTGTTGCACAGTCAGCCGTTGAGGTTCTCCAGGGACTGATGAAGCAGTGTTTTAACTTCAAGAGGTTTTTGTTGTGTTTTGTGTTGTGTTCTTTTCTTCCTTCCCTGTGCCAGAGCTGGAACTCAGGGTCCTGAACTCTCTTGGTTTACTTGCTAACAGTTGGTACGCCACCACTTGAGCTACTCCTCCAGCCTGGCATTTTGCTGATTAATTGGAGATGGAGTTTCTCTTACTTTTCTGCCTGGGCTAGCATCAAATGTTGATCCTCCAGATCTTATCCTTCTAAATACTAGGATTACAGGCATGAGCCGCTGGGCTCTTGTTTGAATTTTATCTTTCTGGCTGTTCATCCCCCCCTCCCCCCATAAGTTTTCTCTATGGAGGAGTGGAGGAGGAGGTACTAGGTTTTAAACTCAGGACCTTGTACTTAATGAGCTCCCCCTCCCCCCAGCACACAGATAACTGGTGTTCTACCAATTGACCCATACTTCCAATCCAGCATTTTGCTGGTTAATTGGAGATGGAGTCTTGTGAACTTTCCTGCCTGAGCTGGGTTTGAACCAGTTTCAGCCTCCTGAGTAGTTAAGATTATAGTGTGAGCCACTAGCACTGGTCCAGCTCTGAATTTTGGGATAGGGTCTTACTCCCTGCTCAGGCACTGGCCTGGTGCAGTCTACCTATGTTAAGCTTCCAGTAGGCAGCTAGGGTAGCAGCAGGCACCACTGCACCCACTCCTGCTGGAGAAGGGATCGCCACGAAACAGCACAGGTATAGTTGGAATCCTCCTCCGTTTCTTCTGTGTTCTTGCTCTCTGACAAGGTGGTTAGTATTTTATGACTGATGATTAGTATGTGTGAATTTTTTAGTAGCCTTAAATAGTCTATTAATAAAAAAGATGAGGGCTGGGAAGGTGGCTCAGTGGTAGAGCGCTTGCCTTGCATGCCTGAGGCCCTGGGTTCGATTCCTCAGCACCACATAAGAGAAAAGAAAAAAGCCAGAAGTGGGGCTGTGGCACAAGTGGTAGAGTGCTAGCCTTGAGCTGAAAAGCTGAGGGACAGCGCCCAGGCCCAGAGTTTAGGCCTCACAACTGGACCCCCCCCCCAAAAAAAAATAAAAAAGATGATAATCTATTAAGACTTTAAGCCATGCTGCGCTCTACCCACCATTCTTCAGTTTTCACCTTCAGTGTTTACAAATGTCTCTCTCTAAACCTGTAACTTGAGGAAGTACATTCCAAAACAGGAATGTGCCGGTGTGGGGGTTTCTAGGGGAGGCCCAGTGCCCAGGAGAGTGAGTGCCAGGCACCCAGCCGGCACTTGCACATGTTGGTGGAATGAGCTGTGTAGCGCCCTATTGTTACACGGCTCTGCAGTGTATCTGGTCCCTGCTGGCAGATGCTGAGAAGGTTCCGTTCTTGCTCACACAGATACTGTTGCAGTCAGTGCTCCTCCTTGTATGACTGTGTAAGGCGTTCCTGAAGTAAATGCTGGGACCAGGGGCGATGGGGCCGGGAGGCAGCACCCCAGCCTTTGTAGACACTGCTGGTAATAGTTCCCACTTGTACTCACACCCGCGGCCTGTAAGAACTTCCCTTTCCCCACATCCTCACCAGCGTTTGGGATTACCATGCCTTTTCATTTTTGCCACTTCTACGCACATGAAGATTCATTCTGTTTTACATTTCCTTGTTGTTAACCTGTCACATTGCTGTCTTCCCCCTAGAAATTCAATGTCCTCTTTCCGTCCCGGGAGAGGGCATAATGACAGCCGGAGGACTGTGTTTTATACCAGCGAGGAATGGGAACTTTTAGACCCACCCCCGAAGGATCTGGAAGAGCCTGTGGCACAGGAAGAAAAAAAGAAGCCGATGCCCGAGGGCAGCAGAGGTACCGCTTCCCATGCTGGCCCTTGCTGTGCCCTCGCGCCCACAGTGACGTGCGTGGGACACACTTGGTTGGCAGCTATTTCTGGAGGCTGAAAGCCTCCTGGGGGCCTGAGTTCTCTGAGAAAGGCTTGAAAAACAAACTGGTATAAGAAATAGGTGGGCCAGGAGTTAGTGGCTCATGCCTGTAATCTAGCTACTCAGGAGGCTGAGATCTGAGGATCGCGGTTCAAAGCCAGCCCAAAGCCAGCAGGAAAGTCCGTGAGACTCTTATCTCCAATAAACCACTCAAAAAACTGAAAGTGGCACTGTGGCTCAAGTGGTAGAACACTAGCCTTGAGCTGAAGAACTGAGGGACAGCGCCCAGGCCCAGAGTTCAAGTCCCACGACCAATAAAAAAAAACAAAACAACAACAAAAAAACAAAACAAGAAATAGCTGGATCCCAGTAGCTCACACCTGTCATCCCAGCTACTCAGGAGGTTAAGATCTGAGGATCACAGTTCAAAGCCAGTCTGGGTAAGAAAAGTCTAAGAGACTCTTATCTCCAGTGAACCACCAAAAAGCCAGAAGTGGAACTGTGACTCAGGTTGAGCACTAGTTTTGAGCACAAAAGCTCAGGGTCAGTGCACAGGCCCTGAGTTCAAGCCACAGGGCCAGTACATACAAAAAAAGTAAAAAGGAAGTGGCACTGTGGCTCAAGTGGTAGAGTGCTAGCCTTGAGCACAGACAGAGAGGCTCAGGGACAGAGCTTAGCTCCTTCTGTCATGTCCTATCTAGAGACAGAACTCCCGGAAGTCAGGCTGCTTTTGATGGAAAGACTGACTGTAATCACTTTTTACTTCTGGAAATTGGAGGTACACTCGAAAGAAGAGAATGTGTGTCACCTATTGTGTCAGTCTGCTTTCCATTTCTATGACAGACACCAGAGATGAATCAACTAATCTGAAAACAAGGTTTATTTTAGCTTGCAGTGTTGGAGTCTTTGGTCCATGATCCATTGGCCTCATTGTTTGGGGCCTTGGTGTCACATCATGGCAGAAACATGTGACAACGCAAATCTGCAAATTCATTCAGTTTCATGGCCAGGAAGCAAAAGAAAGAGGTAGGGAAGGGGCTGGGTTCCATTCTTCATATTCTCCATAATTGTGAGGCTTCCTACAAAACCCACTTCTGATAGTGCCATGCTGGGAGTGAAGCCTTAGATTCTGGGCTTTTTTTGGGGGAGGGAGGGGGAGTCAGTTGTAGGGCTTGAACTTGAGGCTCCTGCGCTGCCCCTGAGCTCTTTTGCTCAAGGCTAGCATTCTATCACTTTGAGCCACAGCATCACTTACAGTTTTTGAGTGGTTAATTGGAGACAAGAATCCCGTGGGGACTTTGCCCAACCTGGTTTTGAACTGCAGCCCTCAGATTTCAGTCTCCTGAGTAGCTATGATTACAGATGTGAGCCATCATTTCCTGGCTTTTTTTTTTTCCTCCTCAAAGTGATCTAATGGTAGTCTTCCAGGGTTTTAGCGTGTTGGTTATTCTCTGGATCAAGGGGTGCAGAAGCATGGTGACCCCTTGTGCTGTGTTCTCAGGGTTTGACTGCACCCCCTTCAGAGGGGATTTGTAAGGACATTTTATTTTACTGCAATTTCCAAATGGTGGGCGTGGCTTGCTGTACACGCAGGGTTTGTCTTTGTGTAGGAGTCACCATCTCAGGCTTCCCCTTTGACTTTGGGCGCAACCCATACAAAGGAAAGCGTCCTCTGAAGGATATAATCGGGTCATACAAAAACCGTCACAGCACCGGCGACCCTTCAGGCGAGGGCACCTGCAGTGGAGTCACCAAGCCAGCCTCTGACATGCAGCTGCAGCTTCAGAGCCAGCAGGAGGAGTTGGAACGGCTCAGGAAAGACCTGTCCAGTCAGAAGGTAACCATCGCCCTGGATTTCTCCCTGGCCCACTCTGCAGGACAAAGACCCCGTAGTAGAAGGCACTCATGAAGCCTGTTTCCTGAGGGATTGCACTGCTGTGTCACTTCCGGGGCCTGCCACGGGGCCTGGCCTTTGTTCAGTCAAGGGACAGGGACAGTTTCTGGCAGGAGCTCACAGGGCAGGCTCTCTGGCCCTAACTCATTTCTGCCCTGAGCTCTACTCTAAACACAATAGTGTATGTACATCCTGTTAAATAATGTGCTTTCTTTCTTTCTGAGCCATTTAACATTTAGTAAATCTTAGAGCACAGATTCTTTTCTTTTTTTTTTTTTTGCCAGTCCTGGGACTTAAACTCAGGCCTGGGCACTGTCCCTGAGCTTCTTTTGCTTAGGTTAGCTAGCACTCTATCACTTGAGCCATAGCACCACTTCTGGCTTTTTCTGTATATGTGGTACTGAAGAATCGAACCCAGGGCTTCGTGTATGCCAGGCAAGCACTCTACCACTAAGCCACATTCCCAGCCCTCCTTTTTTATTTTTAATTTTTTAAATTTTTTGATGCCTGTCCTCAGCCTAGTTCTTGAACTTTTGTGCTCAAGGATAGTACTCTACTACTTGAACCACACTCCGTTTCCAGCTTTTTTTTATGTCCCATTGGAGATAAGAGTCTTAGTAGTTTCTGGCCCAGGCTGGCTTTGAACTGCAGTCTTCAGAGCTTAGCCTCCTGAGTATCTGGGATAACAATCATGAGACACCAGCACCCAACCTGAGTGCTCTTGCTTAACTTTTTTTTTTTTTTTTGTCAGTCATGGGGCTTGAACTCTAAGCCTGGGTGCTGTCCCTGAGCTCTTCAACTCAAAGCGAGTGCTCTTCTGCTTGAGCCACAGTGCCACTTCCGGTTTTCTGGTGATTAATTGGAGACCAGTCTCACAGACTTTCCTGCCCAGGCTGGCTTTGAACTGCAATCCTCAAGATCTCGGCCTCTTGAGAAGCTAGGATGACAGGCATGAGCCACTGGCACCTGGCTTGCTTAGCTTTTTTGTTCAAGACCAACACCCTACCACTCAAACTACTGCGCTGGTATTTTGCTGATTAATTGGAGATGAGAGTCTCACAGACTTTCCTGCCCTGACTGGCTTTGAACTAAGATCTTCATATCTCAGTGCTTAGCATTTGTTCTTTTTTCTTTTTTCGACACAGAGTCTTACTATGTAGCCCAGACTCAAACTTAAGCCTAAGCCTCAAACTTGCCGTTCTCCTGCCTCAGCCCAGCTAGTGCTAGTGCATAGTACTGTGCTAGACCTTACAGATTTCCCTCTCCACACACAGATGCATTCATGCCAATAAACATTTACTAGGAACTGTGGCTAACCGTAGTCTTCATATCGTTATTTCCAGTTTCCTTTGATTGTTCTCTGTGGACAGTCTTCACAGAGTAAATATTTTCCTTCCTCTCTATTTTTGAACTCTTTTAAGAGGAAGTTCAGTATTAAAATGTTTCCAGTAAAGGTTCTTTCTGTGTTTCCTCAATTTCCAAGGCTTGCTCCCTGTAGCCTTGGCCTGATTTCTGCTTTTTGTTTTCCTCCTCCTCTCCCTACTGCCCTCACCCTCACTCCATGCTCCTTCGGCTCCCAGGAGCTTGTCCGGCTGCTCCAGCAGACTGTCCGCTCCTCCCAGTATGACAAGTACTTCACCAGCAGCCGCCTGGGCGAGGGGGCTCCGGGGGACACGCTCGCGCTGCTGCACCAGAAGGATGATCAGATCCTGGGCCTCAGCGGCCAGCTCGAGAGGTTGGCCCTGGAGAAAGACAGCCTCCAGCAGGAAGTGAGGACACTGAAGAGCAAAGTGGGCGAGCTCAACGAGCAGCTGGGCATGCTGATGGAGACCATCCAAGCCAAGGACGAGGTCATCATCAAGCTCAGTGCGTGGGAAAGCAGCGCCACATCCCCCACCTCAGGGCCCAGCTCCCCCTCGCCTCCCCCAGCCAGCAGGGACCAGCTGGAGCTGGACAGGCTGAGGGTAAGAGTTGTCCCTTCTCTGCTCGCCCATCCTTCACAACCTCTGAGTCTCCTGTCCTGTGCATGGCTGTTCCACAGACACCTCCATGCTCACAGCTCCCTTCTTCTGACTCTGGATGCATGCAGCCACGAGTGCACTCTGTGGGTATGGGGTGTGGCCCTCAACCTACCAGAACTCGGAGTGTAGCTCACAGAGCACAAACACTGAGGCAGAGTTCACAGCTGCCAGAAGCACCCAGCAGGAAGCAGGGGATGTGGCGCGGTGTGGCTTAAGGTTGAGCTTAGGCCCTAGAGCCAAAGCTGGCAGCTGCAAAGCCACTTTGCCTACTTGGAAGTCCCGCCTGTAGGCTGGTAACTGTCTCCAGGTATTCACTTGTGATGCAGTGTGTCCTTTGAGGTGCACCAAATATGGTAGCTATGCCTGGCACTGGTGGCTCACATCTGGAATCCTAGCTACTCAGGAGGCTGAGATCTAAGGATCGCAGTTCAGAGTAAGACCAGGCAAGAAGGTCCATGAGACTCATCCCCAATGAACCACCAAAAAGTAGTAGAGCTGTGGCTCAAATGGCAGAGCACCAGTCTTGACTGAAAAAGCTGAGGAACAGCACCTAGGCCCTGAGTTCTAGCCCATGGCTTGTACACGAAGAACACACACACACACACACACACACACACACACACACACACACGATAGCTTTAAGATCCCAAGAAAAAAGAGCACCATGATTTGGGCCAAGAAAGGAAGTCTGAGGACCTTGTTTTGGCTTTGATATTGGATACCTTGAATATTTGTCTCGCTGAGGCTAAGCAGATCATATGAGGTCAGAGTGGGCGGCTGGACACAGGGCTGAGAGCCCCCCGGCTTTTTCTGTTTATATGGTGCTGAAGAATCAATCTCAGGGCCTCATGCATGCAAGGCAAGCACTCTACCACTGAGCCACCTTCCCAGCCCAACACCCTGTCTTAAAGAGAGAGAAATAATTAGACATGGTGAGGGGCAGGAGAGCATATTTTAAAAAGACTGAACTTGCAGGGAACATTTAAGGCAATTCTAACTAGTCTGTTCACTTAGAAGCTTCATCTGTTTTTATTATCCCTAAACCTTATTTTCATAGCATTGGAAGTGTTTTGTGCATGCTGTGTGCATGCTACACAGGTGCTTCCCCACTGAGCTGTGTCCTCAGCCATATTGTACTTTCATCCTGCTCATAAACTTGAACTATTCTAATGTAAAAAAAAGATGAGAAGCTGGGCACTGGTGCTCATGCCTGGAATCCCAACTACTCAGGAAACTAAGATCTGAGGATCACTGTTTGAAACCAGCCTGGTTAGGAAAGACCGTGAGACTCGTTATCTACAACTAATCATTGAAAAGCTGAAAGTAGAGGTATGGCTCAACTGGTAGAGAGCCAGCTTTGAGTGAATGTGCCCAGGCCCTGAGTTCAAGCCCCAATACCAGTGCGCACGCGCGCGCGCGCGCGCGCGCACACACACACACACACAGTTGAGGAGGTATGTGTTGCAAGTTAAAATTTAACTTTGCAGTCTTTTGTTTTTATTTTTCTAGTCATGGGGCTTGAACTCAGGCCTAGGTGCTCTCTGAGTTTTTTTTCTCGAGGCTAGTGCTCTACCACTTTGAGCCACAGTACCACTTCCAGTTTTCTGATGGTTCACTGGATATAAGAGTCTCACAAACTTTCCTGTCCAGGCTAGCTGTAAACCATGATCCTCAGATCTCAGCCTCCTGGGCAGCTAATGAAGTCTTTTTTATATTAAGTAAATGAAGCCCTTCAGACAATGTGTTCAGTTACTTTAATTTAAAAAGAATGGGAGCTTTTTTTGTGTGTCATTTCAATTAATAGGAATTAATCAAAAAGATTACATAGATTTAGAAAATAAGCCCTGTTTGTTTTTCCTGCCATCACTGAGAAAAATCACCATTAAGGAAGTACTTATTTTTTCTTTCTTTCTTTCTGTCACTCAGCGGTACCTCTCCTCTATTGCCACAAGTGGCTAAAAAGATGAGTGAGAAAATTCTCGTTAACAACTCATGGGGACTTGGACTGGCCCTAACTTAGCGTGGCCTTGGAGGATGGAAAGATACTAATTACATAGGCTAACTGGTCCACCTTTAATATGAATTCATTTCTTTTCTCCCTCAACAGGATAATCTACAGGGCTACAAAACTCAAAATAAGTTTCTAAATAAGGAAATTTTGGAGCTCTCAGCTCTTCGACGGAACGCAGAAAGGAGAGAGAGGGACCTGATGTCAAAGGTGGGTTCGAGGGTGGGGCCCCCTCTTTTGTGGGGAGCAGAGGTTAGGAAACCATCTTTAAGCAATGTGCTTTCAGGTTAGGGCAGCAGCTGCACCTGCAGCAGTGAGGCTGCTGGAACTGTGTGCTTTGAATGTATGGAAGGGGCTAGGGCTGGTGATGATGCCTATGTAGCTACTCAGATCTGAAGACCATGGTTCAAAGCCAGCCAGAACAGAAAAGTCTATGGGACTTATCTCTGAAGCAAAAAGCTGAAATAGAGGTATGACTCAAGCAGTGGAACACCAACCTTGAGTGATAGTGTAAGGCCCTGAGTTCAAGTCCCAGTACTAGCACAAAAATTAGATAGATAGATATAGATAGATAGATAGATAGATAGATAGATAGATAGATAGATAGATAGATAGATAGATAGATAGATAATAGACAGATAGATGATAGAAGACAAATACATGGGTAGATGAATGATAGAAGGAAGATTGATTTGTTTTTTTGTTTTTGGGTCCGGTCGTGGGGCCTGGGTGCTGTCCCTCAGCTCTTCAGCTCAAGGCTAGCACTCTACCACTTGAGCCACAGCACCACCTCCGGCTTTTTTCTTTTTGCTTATGTGGTGCTGAGGAATCAAACCCAGGGCCTCAGGCATGCAAGGCAAGCACTCTACCACTGAGCCATCTTCCCAGCCCCAGAAGGAAGATTGATAAATGAATGACTGGTGGTAGATTGATAGATGAATGAATGATAGAAGATAGATTGATAGATGAATGATAGGAGATAGATCCATGGATCGATGAATGAATGATAGGAGATAGGTAGGTGAATGAGTGGTAGAAGATAGAATGCATAGAATTCTGTGCTTTGCCTTTGATGATGACAGAAATGCTCTTTGACACCCATTCATTCATAAGCATTTTTAGGGGGAAAAGCTAAGAAAACTGCACAGGTCTTGAATTAAGGTTATTTGAACTTTTTTAAAAAGTTTTTTTTTTTTTTAACTAGCATATATTAGTCACCTGCAAGGGGTCTCATAGTGATTTCCATTCATGCATGCAGGTTCCCTTCAACCCTCCCACCATCACCCCCTCCTCTCTGTAAAACAATTTTAGCAGGTTTCATTGTTCATTTTTGTTCATGCTTACACAGCACTTTAATCATATTTACCCTCATTCACCTTCTACATTGGTTGGATTTTTTTCTTTATTCTTTTTTTTTTTCTCTTTGCCAGTTCTGGGGCTTGAACTCAGAGCCTGGGCACTGTCTCTGAGCAGCTTTTGCTCAAGGCTAGTGCTCTACCACTTGAGCCACAGCACCACTTCCGGCTTTTTCTGTTTGTGTGGTACTGAGGAATTGAACCCAGGGCTTCATGCATGCTAGGCAAGCACTTTACCACTAAGCCGCATTCCCAGCCTGGATTTTGATTTATACTACTGAGTTCTATACCTATAAAATGGGGTGGTAGCTGGGTGCCGATAGCTCACGCCTATAATCCTAGCTACTCAGGAGGCTGAGATCTGAGGATCACGGTTCAAAGCCAGCCCGGGCAGGAACTGCCGTGAGACTTTTATCTCCAATAAACCACTAGAAAACTGGAAGTGGTGCTGTGGCTCAATCAGTAGAGTGCTCGCCTTGAGCTGAAGAGTGCAGGGACAAGCCCAGAGTAGCTAGGATTACAGGTGGTAGAGCACCTACGACCGACCAAAAAAAAAGAAAAGGGAGTGGTAGCCAGGTGTCAGTGGCTTATGCCTGTAATCCTAGCTACTTAGGAGGCAGAGATCTGAGGATCGTTGTTTAAAAAGCTAGAAGTAGAGGAAGTGGCACTGTAGCTCAAGGGAAAAGTGCTCGCCTTGAGCTGAAGAGCTGAAGGATGGTGCCTAGGCCCAGAGGTCAAGCCCCATGACCACCACCAACAACAAAAAGCTAGAAGTGGGGCTGTGACTCAAGTGGTAGAACCACTAGCCTTGAGCAAAAGAGCTCAGGAAGAGTGCTCAGGCCCTGAATTCAAGCCCAGGACAACAAAAAGAAAAAATAGCTCTGGTGACAGTACCCTGACAAAGCTGAGGCAGCTGCTTGCGGCAGCAAGTAGCAGGTGGCACCAGTGTGGCTTGGTTTCAACTGCTCATACCAGCCCAGTCTGGACTTCAATTATCAGTACCCCTTCTGTACCACAACCCAAGAAGAAACAGAAGGTCCACATCATGTGATTTGTGGCATACATTAGTCTCCCATCTGCGTTGTGATCTGTCCGTGGCTCACTAAGGGAAATTCCTTACAGTAGTTCAGGGTTTGTTCATCTTCCACGGTCTCAGGATCACTTTTCCCATGTCTCTGGCTTGAGGTAATGCCCATATTCTCTGCAGTATTCTAGCCTGGAAGCCAAGCTGTGCCAGATAGAAAGTAAATACTTGATACTGCTTCAAGAGATGAAGACCCCCGTGTGCTCGGAGGACCAGGGCCCTGCCCGGGAGGTTATAGCACAGCTGCTGGAGGACGCACTGCAGGTGGAGAGCCAAGAGCAGCCTGAGCAAGCACGCATCAAACCTCATCTTGTCAGGTAAATGTGCGGCTGGTGACTGTTGGGGCACAGTTCCCCCCATTTCTGAAGTTCCCTCTATCCACAAAGGACTGGACACAATGCTGGAGATCTCATTTGACACTCATGACGAATGCTGTTAGCAAAACAGACAATGACCCTGTCAGAGTAACCTCACTGGGACCCATACTTCAGCTGAGCGCATTTCCCAAGCGATGGGAGCCATTTATGACCTGTGGGCCAAACCCACAGGGGACTCCAAAGCATAGAGGGTCCTGGGCTTGCTTTGCACAGGGCGCTGTTTGGAGAACCTTGTTCAGTGGTCTGAGATTTGATACCCAAAAATTCACGGGGACACACACATGACAATACTGCAACTTTTTCTTTTTTTGAGAAATCACATAACCTGGAAACCCTAGATGGATATTGGATTAAGAACCCATAGCCGGGCGCCGGTGGCTCACGCCTGTAATCGTAGCTACTCAGGAGGCTGAGATCTGAGGATCACGGTTCAAAGCCAGCCCAGGCAGGAAAGACTGTGAGACTCCTATCTCCAATAAACCACTAGAAAACTGGAAGTGGCACTGTAGCTCAAGTGGTAGAGCGCTCGCCTTGAGCTGAAGAGCGCAAGGACAGCACCCAAGCCCAGAGTTCAAGCCCCACAACTGACAAAAACCAAAACAAAACAAAAAAAAAAAGAACCCATAAAAGCATGTTTGTAATACTAACTACTCAGGAGGCTAAAGTCTGTGGATCACGGTTCTAAGCCAGCCTGGTAAGGAAAATCTGTGAGATTCTCCTCTCCAATGAACTACCAGAAAAGCTGGAAGTGGAGCTATGGCTCAAGGGGTAGAGTGCCAGCCTTGAGCAAAAAGAAGCTCAGAGATAGCATGCAGGTCCTGAGTTCAAGCCCCAGGATTGGCACCAAAAAATAAAATCCTCACCAATTTAGTGACTTAAAATAACACATGAACTTGTTTACAGATTCCTTCGTTCTGTTAGTCAGAAACTCAACATGGGGCTTAGGAGATTGAAAGCAAGGTCTAATCAAGAGTTGTATTCCCTTTCTTTTTTCCTTTTTTTTTTTTGTTGTTGGTTGTGGGGCCTAAACTCAGCCTGGGCACTGTCCCTCAGCTCTTCAGCTCAAGGCTAGCTCTCTACCACTTGAGCCATAGCACCACTTCCAGCTTTTTCTGCTTATGTGGTGCTGAGGAATGGAACCCACAGCCTCATAAATGCAAGGCAAGCGCTCTACCACTGAGCCACCTTCATAGCCCTTCTTTTTTCTTTTGTACCAGTACTGGGGCTTGAACTCAGAGCCTGGGTGTTCTCCCTTAGTCTTTTTAACTCAAGGCTGGCTCTGTACCACTTGAGCCACAGCTCCACTTCCAGGTTTTGGTGGTTAATTGGAGTTAAGAACCTCATGGACTTTCCTCACTGGGCTGGCTTCAAGCTGCGTTCCTCAGATCTCAGCCACCTGCGTAGCAGGGATTACAGCTGTGAGACACTGGTGTCCAGATTCCTGTTTATATCTTGCATGTTAAATTTTTGGTGTTTTTTTTTTAGCGGTTCTGGAGTTTGAACTCAGGGCCTTGCACTTGCAAGGCAGGTGCTCTACCACCTGAGCCACACCCCTGGTCCCACACTTGTTTTTGTTTTTTCTTTTTTGTCTTTTCACTTCTTAAAATGACATCTTTAGGTAGAGGAGGCGGGTAGCATCTGAGGTCCCCGTTACTGGAGAGGCTGAGGCCAGCGTAGGCAGCACAGTGAGACACTGCCCCCAAAACAGATGCCTTAAAGCATCAAGTTACCCACAAACCGACCCAGGTGTGCCAACACATTGATGCAGCCATGTGTGTCGCACGTCACACGTGTCCTGTGTCCGGTTATTACTTGTGCTGTCTTGCGAAGGCCTTTTCACACTCGGGGTGTCAAGCCATCTAGGAACAGATTTTTGTTTTCTTTGTATGATAACAGGAAGAGATCCAACTTTCTTTTCTTTCATATACATGGTTGTCCTAGCCTACTGAGGGTAAAGCTTATGATTTACTCGCTCAGTGGTTTGAAATAACTGGTCATATATCAAGATCCATGGAAGCATGGATGGATTTTTAAACCTCTATTCACTGAGCCTTTTTTTTGTGTGTGGGGGGGGTGTGGTGGCTAACTGTTCTGGGGTTTGAACTCAGGCCCGAGCGCTATCTCTTAGTTTTTTTGCTCAAGGCTCTAGCTCTCTGCCACTTTGAGCCACAGCTTCATGTCAGGTTTTTAGGTGGTTAACTGGAGATCAGACTCTTACAAAGCCGGGCACCAGTGGCTCACGCCTGTAATCCTAGCTACTCAAGAGGCTGAGATCTGAAGATCCTGGTTCAAAGCAAGCCTGGGCAGGAAAGGCCGTGAGACTTTTATCTCCAATAAACCACTAAAAAACCAGAATTGGCTCTGTGGCTCAAGCGGTAGAGCGGTAGAGCTCTCGCCTTGAGCTGAAGAGTTCAGGGACAGCGCTCAAGCCAGAGATCAAGCCCCACAACCAAAAAAAAAGAAGGAAAGAAAGAAAGAAAAAGACTCATGACCTTTCATGGCCAGGCTGGCTTCAAACCCTGATTCTCAGATCTCAGCCTCCTGAATAGCAAGGTGCCTGGCTACGCTGGTTTTTTGGTTGTTGTTGTTGAGAATGAGTGAGTGAATGAATGCACGAATCCTTTTCATTTCCCTTGTAATTTCATTTCCCTCTTGTGATCCACAGTGAGTATGACATTTACGGGTTTAGGACTGTCCCGGATGCTGATGAGGAAGAGAAATTGGTTGCCAGGGTCCGAGCACTGGACCTGAAGACTCTGTACCTCACGGAAAACCAGGAAGTTTCCACTGGGGTCAAATGGGAGAATTATTTTGCAAGCACAGTGAACAGGGAGATGGTGTGCTCTCCCGAACTGAAAAACCTGATCCGTGCGGGCATCCCCCATGAGCACCGTTCGAAGGTGTGGAAGTGGTGTGTGGACCTCCACACCCGCAAGTTCAGGGACAGTGCGGAGCCCGGCTACTTCCAGACCTTGCTTCAGAAGGCCCTGGAGAAACAGAACCCAGCCTCCAAGCAGATCGAACTGGACCTGCTACGGACTCTGCCCAACAACAAGCATTACTCCTGCCCTACCTCGGAGGGCATCCAGAAGCTGCGCAACGTCCTGCTCGCCTTCTCCTGGCGCAGCCCTGACATCGGCTATTGCCAGGGCCTCAACAGGTGGGTGGCGCCAGCTGCTCCCAGCCTATCCCAGAGGGCCAGGCTCCAGGCCAGGCCCGCATGGCAGCAGCACCCTCCCCTGTGTTGGGGGGGGGGGTTGTTTTTGTTTTTCATTTCATCTGTCATCTTATTATGTGCCTATTTAATTTTTTTCTTGTGATGTACAGAAGGGTTACAGTTACCTAAGTCAGGTAAGAAGTACCTTTCTTTTTGGACCATGTCCCCCCATCCTTCTATCTCTCCCAGTTTGTCCCTCCCATCCCCACCCACAAGTTATTTTCCACATAGTGTCCAGTGAGGACCACAGCTGCATTTGTTCACCCATATCTGTACTCCTCCCCTCCCCTCCCAGAGACAAATAAATGAACAAACAAAACAGAAAAGTAAACAAAAACAGCAACAAAGAAAAAAATCTTCTTGTTAGCCAGGGTTTGGGGGGGGGAACAAGAAATGATGGCAGGATAGTTTTAATGCACCATACCCTCATTTCAAGAACAACTGATTTCTGACAGATGTGATTGCAGATCATATGAGGAGCACAGTAGTTGGGGCTGGGTATGTGGCTCAGGTGTCGAGTATACAAACAACATGAAGGGGCCCCGGACTCAAGTGCATCGCCACATAAAACAGCTAGAACCCCGGGCATTGGAGGCTCACACCTGTATTCCTAGCTACTCAGGAGGCTGAGATCTGAGGATCACAATTCAAAGCCAGTCCAGGCAGAAAAGTCCCAGTGAGACTCTTCAGTAATCCACTCAAAAACCAAAAGTGGAGCTGTGGCTCAAGTGGTAAGAGCGCTACCCTTGAGCACAAGGAAGCTCAGGGACAATGCCCAGGCCCTGAGGTCAAGTCCTACAACCAACAAGAACAACAAAAAGAAACAGCTTAGGAGTGTGTGTGTGTGTGTGTGTGTGTGTGTACATGTGTGTGTGCCAGTTTGGGGGTTTGAACTCAGGGCCTAGGTGTTATCCCTGAGCTTTTGTGCTGTATCACTGAGCTCAGTGAGTAATTTCATTTTTTTCCTGCTTGTTTTTTTTGTTTGTTTGTTTTTTGGTGTTTTTTTTTTTTTTTTACCAGACTTGGGGCTTGAACTCAGAGCCTGGGCACTGTCCCTGAGCTTCTTTTGCTCAAGGCTAGTACTCTACCACTTGAGCCACAGTGCCACTTCTAGTTTTTTCTGTGTATGTGGTACTAAGGAATAGACCCCAGGGTTTCATGCATGCTAGGCAAGCGCTCTGCCCCTAAGCCACGTTCTCAGCCCCTTTTCCTCTTTGTTCACATGTGTGTTTCATCAAAAATTTAAAGCCAAGCCTGGCTGGCATTGGTAGCTTATGCCTATAATCATAGATACTGAGGAGGCTGAGATCTGAGGATCTTGATTCAGAACTAGACTGGGCAAGAAAGTCTGTGAGATTTTTTTTTTTTCTTCCAGTCATGGGGCCTGAACTCTGGGCCTGGGCGCTGTCCCTCAGCTCTTCAGCTCAAGGCTAGCGCGCTACCACTTGAGCTACAGCGCCACTTCTGGCTTTTTCTGCTTATGTATACTGAGGAATCGAACCCAGGGCCTCATGCATGCAAGGCAAGCACTCTGCCACTGAGCCACCTTCCCAGCCCCATCTGTGAGATTCTTATCTCTAATGAACCACCAGAAACCCAAAGTTGTGCTGTGGCTCAAGGTGCTATCCTTGTCAGGGACAGTGCCCAGGCCCTGAGTTCAAGCCCCATTATTGACAAAAAGAAAAAAAAATTTTCGGGGGGGGGAGGGGGAGTGTCAGTCGTGGGGCCTGAACTCTGGGCCTGGATGCTGTCCCTCAGCTCTTCAGCTCAAGGCTAGCTCTCTACCACTTGAACCACAGCACCATTTCCGGCTTTTTCTGCTTATATGGTGCTCAGGAATTGAACCCAGGGCCTCATGCATTCGAGACAAGCACTCTACCACTGAGCCACCTTCCCAGCCCCAAGAAAAGAATGTAAAGCCAGAAAATGAGTTGTGGCTCAAGTGATAGAGCTTTAGCCTTGAGCACAAAAGCTCAAGAGACAGTACCCAAGCCCTGAGTTCAAGCCCTGGGGGACACACACACACACACACATACACACACACACAGAGTTACTTGACATTTCTTGGACAGTAAGCTATAAACATCTGAATGAGCAAAATTTTCTAATGGAGGCATTTTTTGGAAGGAGGCTGTTCAATCACAAGGAAACTAGGTTATCCAAACAAAACCAAACCCCCGCGTGAGGTGTGCCTGGCTTGCTCTGGATGGAGCCTTTTCTCTCATGTTGGAGAATGGCATGCTGGTTGTTTTTATTGTTTTTCTTTAAACTTATTTTTATTTATTTGTTATAAAGGTGATGGATAGAAAGGTTACAGTTACATAAGTCAGGTATTTGGGACTGTCACCCCTTCCCTCCCTCTCCTCCAGTTTTTCTCTCCCATCCCCCACCCCTGAATTGCATGGTTCATTTTCCACAGAGTGTGCAGCGAGCACCACTGCTGCATTTGGTGATGCTTTTTTGCCACCAGAGAGAAAGGGGTTTCATTGCACACTTCTGCGAGGACCTGCTGGGCCTGGCACTAACTTTGTTCCCCCTTTGTTCGTAGGTTGGTGGCTGTGGCTCTCCTGTACCTAGAACAAGAAGACGCTTTCTGGTGTCTGGTCACCATCGTGGAAGTGTTCATGCCCCGAGACTATTATACAAAGACCCTTTTAGGATCCCAGGTGCCTTTCCCCCATTCATTCTTATTAGCATATATTGTACAAAATAACCACTTTGTTGTGACATTTCTGTATTCAAGGGCTTTTTAAGATACTTAAAATGTTTCAGAGCTGAGAATGTAGCTTAGTGGTAGAGTGCTTGAAGCCCTGGGTTCAATTCCTCAGTACCATATAAGCAGAAAAAGATGGAAGTGGCACTGTGGCTCAAGTGGTAGAGCATTAGCTTTGAGCGCAGAGGCTCAGGGACAGAGCCCAGGCCCTGAGTTCAAGCCCCATGACTCCAAAAAAATAAAAAAGATAAAATACTGTGTTTTGGTGCTGGGAATGTGGCTTAGTGGTAGAATACTTGCCTAACATGCATGAATCCCTGGGTTCAATTCTTTAGTACCACATAAACAGAAAAGGCTGGTAGTTGCACTGTGGCTCAAATGATAGAGTGCTAGTTTTGAACAATAGAAGCTCAGGGACAATGTCCAGGACCTGAATTCAAGCCCCAGGACTGGCAAAAAAAAAAGTAAAATGCTGTGTTTTCAGTCACTAACTTGTAGCTGAAATGTGACCAGGGTTCTTAGTGAGGCCATGGCTTTGTGTGCATGATTTTAAGCAGCGATTGCCAGCAAGTCAGTCAGAGGTAAGAGACAGAACCCAGGCCTGCATGCATGTGCTCTATGCATGGCTCTGGGCCTTCTCTGGGCACATACCTGCTCCACAGTGTCTTCCCCTAAGCACATACCTGCTCCATGCCTTCTCCCCAGACACATGCCTGCTCTGCGCCTTCTCCCTGGGTGCCCGCCCTCCATCTCTTGGGTTGGCCTGTGGGAGGCACTGGGGGTTACTGTGGTCAGACTGGAGGACAGGCCAGAAGCAAGGTTCCTCTCCCCATGTGTCCTGAGCCTCTGTCTGTAGCTTTATCCTCTGAGCTGGTATCTGGTAGGTCCTTCCTGTAGGAGGGCAAGTGACCTCACCTGCGTCCTCACTCCCACTAAGATCTGCCCTCCCCTCGCAGCTCTCCCGCTGCTCAGCTTCTGTATCGAGTGCCCAGTGAAGAATCCTCTCGGCTACAACCGTTCAGTGATCTCTGATTTTCTGGCTGTTGGACCTGACTCAGTTTTACTTTATATTTGCCTTTCTACCTTTGCAAGGGGTTCCTCCTTACCCTCTCCGTCACCACCTGACCCGTGCACCTCTCTAGTTCCCCAGACCAAACCCCAGGCCATCCAGGGCCGTGCCTCCTGCCCCTGGAGCCCTGTGCCTCCATTTCTTTTTTTTTTTCAAGTCTTTTATTGTGATTAAGTGGTTACATAATTTCCCAAATTTCACAGTATTGTGGGATAGTGAAGCTTAGTTAAAGTCACAAACACATTCTAACTTTCATAGGACAAATTGTCTACCATGGTCTAACATCTATGAGTTCTGTGAGCTTTGTGATACAGCTATTTCTTCCACATTGGGTGATAGATATGTACATTTCTTTCGTTTTGCATAGCATCAGCTGTTCACTCTTTCCCACTTGTTCCCTCCCTCCCATCGCTGCCATTGACTTGCTTAGTTCATTTTGGTCAGTGTCCAGTGCAGCTGATGGGTCCCGCTGGTGTATGTTTTCCCCTGATTCCCTCTAGTTCTGTGTTGTCTTCCTGGTTCCCCTCCGGTGTACACATATACACCATACATGTGATCAGCAGCATGGGGGTTATTTAGTAGTGATTCGACCAGATGAGTGGAAGTCCTTTGTTTCTTAAGTCCTGTTAATTTTGTTGTATCACCTAACATTTTGGATTTAACATCCAC